TATGAAATCAAATGTTTAGCCAACCCTTGAACACAGACTGCATTGCATAACGCGTTTCCACACCTCAACTGAACGCATGCCTATTGAACAGTCAAACGCAATGCTATTCCTATGGAAACAACTGATTGCACATACAATTCATGGCAATAGGCATTCAGTCAGTCAGTGCCAGACATTAATAAGCATTGCGTTTGTCTCATGAAATCTAGGCTTCATTTTTGTTATATAAATGTCTTTTGGTTTTGCATTTCGTATCATATTTTTGAAACACATTTTAATTTTGTCAGTGTTTAGTGTCTAAAGTGTTTAGCAAACTTTACCCTATTAGCAACCAGGTTAGTATTATAAGCCATGTATTTGCCATATATTATGTTATGTATGATGCTAATTGATAAGCACCTGTCCCATAGGGTTTAGCCTACTATTTACGCGTAAGGTTTGCCATTTAAACCGCTAGAAGGAACCGGCACCTCAGGGCACCGGTAGCTTTTTAATGATATACATGCTTTGTTGCGTAAGGTTTGAAATTGTGTTTTATTTTTTGGCAATTTTTAATTTTAATGTTTGAGAAATTATTGTTACTTTAAATTATTTTTGATTTATTTTTTTAAAGTGAAATAATGTGCGAAAATAGTATTGTTTGAAAAATTATGTGTTTTTTTAATTTAAGTTTTTTAATCTAGCTAATTTTATTGTTAGTTACGCGACATTTGAGTTAATTTTGTTATGTTATAAAAAAGTTTTATTTTAATTGTTTGTATAAAAAAATAAAGGAAACAAATATTTTGGTTTAAAAAATTAGTGCAAAAAGTTTTTTTTGGCGATTATTTCTGACCCCAAAAAAAACTTATTAATTTACAAATTATCTCATTGTTTGACCACAACTTACCACTCATTTGCAGACAAACTATGGCATCGATTGCGATACCCGTTGACAGCAATTGTTAAACCAATTGTTGGTTAAAAAATCTCAACAAAAAAAAGTATTACTTTTGACACAAAAAAATGTCTAATAAGAGGACCTCAAGGATGAGCTTTGTTTCGGTGGAAAGGCATACAAAGTAAGCTATTAGGGGACTGGTAGGGGTTTTCCAGTCTATTATACAATACACTAATCTATTATGCATTGCTATTATTACGACATACGTGGGGGCGTTCAGACAGGTAACCTTGATTAAAAACTAGTCTGTACCGGGGTAATGAACTATACAAAAAATTAGCCCAGTTTTGCAGCGCTAGCATACCAGCCCCCTGTCAAACAACCCCTTAATATATATATTTACTACTAGTTAAGCATTTCGTCAAATTTAATTCAGAGTAATTGCTTTTTATGTTATTTTTATCGATAAATTGATTGCAATGTTGTATATAATAGACAACTATTTTGTTTCTTGTATTTTAATCGTTGCATACATTAGACATAACGTAATGTTATGTAATGGTTAGCAGTGAATGAATGCATTTTCTAGCGTTTTCGATGCAATACTCACTGTTTTAAAAGTATTTTGTAGGCTATGCTATGAACACTACAGTATTTTTCATTATATTGTAATGATTTATATTTGCATTCATATTAATATTGTGTATCAATAATGAGGTCAACCATACGCGTGACGAATGGCGATAGAGCCGCGACTACCGGCGCCCCACTGCTGTTGGCGACACTGGGCTCCCGGCGCAGGTCAACGGCCACGACTACCGCTCAGCAACCGGTGGTTAACTCGAGTTCAGTGCGGGTGACAAAGACCACACTTACGGTGAACTCCCTGTCCCCGCAGACACCCAGCACAGGTATGATTAGTTTAGTATGTGTATAGTATAGCCAATCGGGNTTTTTTGTATAGTTCATTACCCCGGTACAGACTAGTTTTTAATCAAGGTTACCTGTCTGAACGCCCCCACGTATGTCGTAATAATAGTAATGCAGTAATAGTTAGTGTATTGTATAATAGACTGGAAAACCCCTACCAGTCCCCTAATAGCTTACTTTGTATGCCTTTCCACCGAAACAAAGCTCATCCTTGAGGTCCTCTTATTAGACATTTTTTTGTGTCAAAAGTAATACTTTTTTTTGTTGAGATTTTTTAACCAACAATTGGTTTAACAATTGCTGTCAACGGGTATCGCAATCGATGCCATAGTTTATCTGCAAATGAGTGGTAAGTTGTGGTCAAACAATGAGATAATTTTTAAATTAATAAGTTTTTTTGGGTCAGAAATAATCGCCAAAAAAAACTTTTTGCACTAATTTTTTAAACCAAAATATGTTTCCTTTATTTTTTTATACAAACAATTAAAATAAAACTTTTTTAAAACATAACAAAATTAACTCAAATGTCGCGTAACTAAAATAAAATTAGCTAGGTTAAAAAACTTAAATAAATTAAAAAACACAATTTTTAAAACAATACTATTTTCGCACATTATTTCACATTAAAAAAAATAAATCAAAAATAATTTCTCAAACATTAAATTAAAAATTGCCAAAAAATAATAAACAATTTCAAATCTTACGCAACAAAGCATGTATATAATTAAAAAGCTACCGGTGCCCTGAGGTGCCGGTTCCTTCTAGCGGTTTAAATGGCAAACCTTACGCGTAAATAGTAGGCTAAACCCTATGGGACAGGTGCTTATCAACTAGCATTATACATAATAAGTTATATGGCAAATATATGGCTTATAATACTAACCTGGTTGCTAATAGGGTAAAGTTTGCCAAACACTTTAGACACTAAACACTGACAAAATTAAAATGTGTTTCAAAAATATTATACGAAATGCAAAACCAAAACACATTTATATAACAAAAATGAAGACTAGATTTCATGAGACAAACGCAATGCTTATTAATAGTGAATGTCTAGTACTGACTGACTGAATGCCTATTGCCTTGAATTGTATGTGTAATCAGTTGTTTCCATAGGAATAGCATTGCGTTTGACTGTTCAATAGGCATGCGTTCAGTTGAGGTGTGGAAACGCGTTATGCAATGCAGTCTGTGTTCAAGGGTTGGCTAAACATTTGATTTCATAGTGAGAAATAAAGTTTGCAAGATTAGTTTGCAATTGATTTTTAATAAATAATATTTTCTGATGAAATGTTTTATTGCAGTTTAATTTTTAATATGATTTGAACCGTATATGCTGTTAATGATACTTAAATTATAGTTTAACTTTAAAATACACACAATTATTATTAATGTTAACCCAGCTATTAGTAATTTATAATTATCGGTAATAATTCAATATATTGAATATACAGTATATTAATGCCTTTAATGATACTTAAATTATAGTTTAACTTTAAAATACACACAATTATTATTAATATTAACCCAGCTATTAGTAATTTATAATTATCGGTAATTATTCAATATATTGAATATACAGTATATTAATGCCTTGATTATTTATTTTAACTTATTTATTACAGTTTAAGTTATGTTAAGAAAGTTTCATAAAAATTAAACATTTTTCTAAATATTGAAAAAAATTTATTTAATTCTTAAGTTTCAAAACTTTTTATAAAATTTTTCTCATTAATAGAAATCTCAATAATTTTCGGCGACTTATGGATCAGATTCTTGAGATCAGTTTCGGCGAAGTCTTCGCTGCCATGGAGTCTAATGGTGTGGATTGCGGTCATTAGGCACATGGCGTTCAATACAGTGGACGTGATATTCATTTTAGAGAAATACAAGAATTGAAGTTTTGGTAACGTTTTGGAAATGTCCGCAAAAAACGAGTCCTCAATCGTATGGTACGGATAGGACGAGTCGATCGTTAAATGTGTCAATCGGTGGCATCTATTCAACGACTCGCAGGTGAACCCGAAATCTTTCTGCAAATTACCGGTCATTTCCAAACGCCTTAATCCCTGAAAGTATTGATTTATTGTCTGAAACAGCCGTTCATAGACTGAGCCGGAGTTTAGCCGCATATTCAGCGATAGTCTCTTAATTGTGGCCAACTTTAGGCCAATTTGTTTGGTGTACTCCGGTATGAGACGTGTTAACGACTCGTCCATATAATAGAAACATATTTTCAAATCAATTAATGACTGGATTTGTGCCAAACTAGACATCAGTGTATTCATCGACTTTTCATCGCAACTCCAGTGGATTTCCGCGTATATGGACTTCAAACGACTGGAGTATAGTTTGGCAAACATTTGCACGCAATTCATGTCGTGAATCGTGTATTTGAATGTAAGGGACTGTAGTTTTTGAAATACAATCGCATTTTCATTAGCCGTAAAACTTTCAGAAAGTTTGCGCCGTTTATAGCGCTTTGAATACACAGTGAAATCGTCGCTGTTTTCGGCATTCATTGCCCAATCAATTGAGGTCTCAATCATATGAATGCCTCTTAACTTATACTTAAAAGTTTGCAATTGTTTGGCAAACTTTACCCAAAACTTGTCGATAGTGTGTCCACTCATGACATCGTATTTCTTAACGTATACTGAAGTCAAATGATCGCAATGTTTGACAATTAAGTCGTAAATGTGTTGAACATTTGCGTTATAATCGCACGTGAAGTCTACGCGCGTTATGTATCGACACTTATGTAGTATTGAAGCAAAAGTTTTCAATTGTTTTGCTTTAATCACTGGTAATACGGTGTCAATGATGAGCACCCGATGGGTCCGGTATATCGACCGCTGGAACTGTTTGGACACACATTCACATCGGACCCGGTCTTCGAGTGTGAGGTAAGACAATAAGTGTTGACACAAATCATCACCGAATCGGTCCAAAGAGTCTTTGGCATAGATTTGAGACATAACTACAAAGTATTGTTAAAATACTTTATAGCAAATACATGAATATACAAAATATTTTGAAATTTTATTTTTAAAATTAAAAAGTTTGTGAAAATATATGAAAATAATAATACATGTAATAAAGTAGGAATAAAATGGAAACTACTTATCGGTGTTTTTATAACAGTATCTCATATGACATGTTATAAAATATACAGTAAGTAATCGTAAATATCATAAATATTGTGATTAATATACAGAAAACACACATAAATAGCATTAAATTTGAAATTAAACAATTATAATTATACTATCTATTTATGTCATTTATTTATCATATGTATAAGATATTAATTGATATCTTAATCAACATCTACAGCACTATTAATAATGTAATGAAAACATAACTTAATATTAACTGGGTAAATATGGTTGTCTAAAATTAAACCTCAATTTTGGGACACTTTGATAGAGACTATTGAGAGCCGTTTGTGTGAACTCTTTCCTCCCGAAAAGTTCAATGAATTGTATTTTCGGCAGTTTTGACAATGAATTCAATACACTGTCCGTTATTATCATGTCTTTGTTAGAAATACTAAAATATTGTAGATTTGGATAAATATGCTGAATATCACTAATATTTATCAGGCAACTAACACGTAAATGTGTTAGTCTAGTGAATTGCTTGGTCAATTCATTTTTGAATACAAACACATTTTTCATAAAAGATGCAAACAAATGCAATCGTTTTAATTGTTTAAAGTTTTCATTAATTGTTTGCCATATTTGTTTGAAGTCATTGTTTGTGGGACTTATGCTAATTTGTAGTCTCTTTAGATTTATTAAATTGAGTCCAATTTGTTTCAAATGAAATGCACACTTTTCTAACAATATTTTATTGTTAACATCAATTGTTATGTCAATCAATGCCCGCATTTGTGACAAACATTTCATTATTACCACAAATGACTTCTCGTCGCAATCATATGAAGTGCAGATTGCAATGGATTTCAACTGATTTTTATAGCTTTTCACAAATAAATCAAAATTATGACAATCATTGGGACCCAAAATAAATGTTATTTTCTTGAGAGTCGGAATAAACACAAAATTTTTATCGCAGAATATCCTGGCAAACAATTCTGTGGAACCATAACCATCCAGTACAGTTACGTTTTCGCACGAATTTATGTATTTTTCAATGGCCTCAAGCACTCTCTCAGTATAACCATATATGCCAATATATTTCAAATGTTTGGCAAACTTTACGAAATAATTGTCCACGGTATCATCACCGATATGTTTCAACCTATGTAGGTTAATCGTATTGACACGATCGCAATGTTTAGTAATTGAATCAAGTATTTCACGTCTAAATAGGAAGTAATCACCAAAATTGTCGACTATTTTGTGACACTTTTTCAGTAATGATTCAAATGCTGTTACACTCATGTATTTTTTACTGCCATCAGTTTTTCGATAATACACGGAATCGTCTTTGACTTTGTAGTAATAATATCTTGGTGAATCACTTTTGACCAATATTTTTGTCGTGTATATCAATCGCTGCCACTGTTTGGACACACATTCATAACGGAAACGGTCTTCGAGTGATAGGTAACTCAATAGGACTTCACATAAATCATCGCCAAATCTATCCAAAGAGTCTTTACTATAAATTTGAGACATTTTTTACACAAATTATGAAATATGTGTGAAACAAATAAAACTGAATGTAGAGTACAATTAGTGATGAGTTGTGTATGAATTGGTGTTTAAATCACACAACAGTACAGTAATTCAATTCAAAAACATAAATGTGAACAAAACTTGAAATGAAATACTTTGCTGAGATATTTATACCATTAATTTATCACACAATTTAACTTTTAACATACATTTGTACAGTATCCACTACAGTACATTACTTTTTCGCATGAATACAATAAATAAATATACAGTATAAATGTATGACCGTTTCCGGGTGATTATCATTTGATATGTTTCTAAAGCTTGTGCCTAAAGCCACAATATGTACAGAATATATAGCTTATTGTTTAGCTTAAATATCACATGTTTTAATGACCTGATTCTTATCATTATGTTGTTTTATGTGTGCCTGGCTTATAATTTACTTGTGATTGTCCCGGAATTTACATGTAATTCCACTAAACATAAGGAATAATATATTCTGTGATAAGTTTACTGAACTCTAACCGGACTTTACATTTCATGACATGTTTAAAAATAATATTATAAATTATTATTAATATTATTAATAATTAAAATAAAATAAACATTTGTTTAGTGAAATAGCATTGTTTAATATAACATTAAATTTTATACAAACCACAATTAACTGAACCAGATATATTTACTACAATCCAGCGGTACTCTAGGAAAGCATAAATAGTCAGTAGAAATAACTTTATTATTAAAGCAAATAGTTTTCAAT